CAATATACTGGGCAATTATTTTGCTGAATGTACAGTTAACCCTCTTTGGGTTTCTGAGGCAGTATCTCTATGGAAGTAGATTTCCTGGTGTTTCTTCTGAGGAGTGGCTGGTGGGTTTGAAGCACCAGCTTCTGGTTAGCAGTCAAATGCCTTAGGCACAATGCCATCAGAGCTCCTGTACCAAATTCACTTGAAAAGAAAACAAGTGTTGTTTAAACTACTCTTGATTTATGTTTTAAAAATAATTTAAATCTTAATGCTCAATTGTCTAATGTTTTAAATTATACTTTACTAAATAAATATATTACTAGTTTTCCTATTTCCCAATATATATTTGTAAATAACAGAAAAAAATAAGTAAAAATTATATAAAATATTTGTGTTCATATATCAGAATTATTATATGTATGTATATATTATCATATGTATGTATGTATATGTATTTATATATATATCTGTATGTATGTGTATCAGTATGAACATTTTAAGAAGCAAATATATGGCACAATTTTGCTACACAAGTTAAAATGCTAGGTTGAAGGTTAAATATGTTCTTTATTTGAAATTGTTTAAGAAGAATGGATAGATACTAATAAAATAAACTAAAAATTCATTTTTTTGTATGTCTTCCTCATATTGAGACACAAACTATGACCATTGGTTCTTCATTTTTAATTTTCAGTGCTAAAAATGTTCTTTGTTGGTAAAGCAATTTCTCCCAAACACTTTTCTCATTGCTTCTTTTACATCTTTGTTCCTCAAACTGTAGATGATAGGATTGAGCATGGGAATCACAATGGTGTAAAGCATAGAAACTATCATGTCATGACCCAAAGCATAGTTAGAACTTGGCCTCACATACATGAACAGGATTGTTCCATGGTAAATTGACACTCCAGTTAGGTGAGAGCCACAAGTGGAAAATACTTTTTGCCTCCCTTCAGCAGAACGTATCTTCAGAATGGCCAATAAAATGAAGCCATAGGAGATCAGGACAATGAGAATGGTGGATATCTCAATAGAACCCACAGTGTAGAAGAGTAGAAGCTGGTTGATGTGAGTGTCAGAACAGGAGAGAGCAAGCAGTGGAGGGATATCACAAAAGAAGTGTATAATTTCATTAGATGCACAGAAGGAGAGGTTGAATGCTGCCACTGTTTCTAAAATGGCATGCAAAATACCACCAACGTAAGAAGCAATGATGAGTGGCCCATAGACTCTGGCTGACATGTTAACTGAATAGAGCAGTGGGTTGTAGATTGCTACATAGTGATCATATGCCATGGCTGCCAAGAGGAAGCTTTCTGTGGTCCCAAAAGTAACC